TCGGGAATATTTGTTGGTTAAAAAAATTTTGTAGGGTTTAGTAGACATTTAAAATGAAGTTTTAGAATAAAAAAGATTTCAAAATAAAAGTTTGAAAATTGATTTTTTCAAAATTATATGCAATTACTGTGATCCCTTAATAAACAATTTTTGAGTAATTGAAATAACGTAGGCCTATAAAATAAATTATCTTACATACACTATGTGGTGAAATGTATTATTCATATGATTACTTTGACAAAGGCCGAATCTTGAACAGTAGAAAATGGGGAAAACAACAAGGGGAGTGTCTTTTGTGAAGTTTCCCATTGACAAGTTAATTTGACAAACTTTACAATTTCCAGCAAAACTGACACTCCGATGATACTCAAGCTAATAAAGAGTGGTGAGTAACGACATCATTTAAGGTAGTGGATAGTGCTTTCGAAATGTTTATCGTAATAGTAAGTAAGATTCATGTAAATTTAAATTTACTGAATCAGCTTCTACGTAAGTTTCAAATATGTTAGCTGTGTGAAAACTGAATGTTTAATGCCAACTCATGTTATTAGAAAAAAAATACTTCCTCGTCGATAGCATGAAACATGAATCCATAAACATCACCATATGATTTGTCTATAAGGATGTTAAGTCGAACGTAAACATTTTGTCAAGAATTTTGGAAATTTTAATGGGCTTGATGAATTTTAGTTAACATTATTATTGTGAAATTTTGAAGTAATATGAATTATTATTATTTTAATTTTTGAATTATTATATTAGTGGTACTCTAGAGTAGTAAGTTCATAGTCAAGATAAAGTTTAAGCATTAGTTATGGTCAAAAGAGTGTTTTTCTCTGAAAAACTGTCAAGATAGACGTTTGGATATAAATCTGCCTTATAAAAAGATGGTAATATCCAGATGTTTGGGTTTTATTATTTTCATTAATGCTTTAATAAAAATAATATCCATTGGCTGGAAAATTGTAAAAAAAATTAGTTATCACTAATCATAAAAGCAGAACATTTTAGAGGTACTAAAAAATAATATTGTAAATATATGTGTTTACTGTAGTAGTATATACTGTGTAAACACAAATATTTACTTAGGGTTGCAGACTTAACATTTCAAAAATGTTACTGATAAACTGGTTTCTATTTTTAATCCATGGGAGAACTCCGTGGATTACTCTGAATGCACTTTCCTTGTCAGCTAAAAGGGATTGTACTCTCAAAAAGTAATATGCGACCTTCCCACAACATGTTTTCAATGGTTTAAAAATACAAGCTGTATATTTAATTGCCCTGTTTATACCAAACTATATCAAAATGAAAGATGGAAGTTATAAAAAGAATAATTAAAAAGTGCCCGTGTTGTCAAGGGAGTGTTATGTAGTGCGGAGCTTGTATAATTGATCTTCTCATCTGAAAGGACCAATCAGGGACCTCATTTTTTTATAACAATTTACTGAATACAATGCTTACAAAAGGTTTGGGAAGTAAACTATTTTTTTATTTTGCAGATAACTCAATGGTGCTTTGCATTTAAGTACTACACCTAAAAATTATTTTTCGAAGCAAATATAAGTTTTCCCGTTTATCCACAAGGAGTCAAAGGAAAATATTTAAAGTGGGCATAGGTTAAGTAGTGAGCATAGATTGAATTATGAACAAATGTATGAAAAACATAGTGGTACAAAATATACCTCAAAAGGTTCATCAAAACTGATCATAAGCCTAATCAATGACCAATCCTAATTTGCCACCACTTATGATATTTAACTGACAAAATGTTGGCGATAATTATATTTTTAGGAATTTTACAGTGATCTCATCATATAGCCCGTTTATTTGACGTATGCAAAATTACTATGATCTTATCATCGAGTTTTCTTAATCCCTGTGATCCGTGTCCAGAGCTATGAGAAATACTATGGAACTTAAATTGTTAGTTAATTTTTTTTTTCAAATCTTTGTTACATGAATATAATTCCTGAGCCTTTTGGTGTATGTTAAATTATCAAAACCCTCAGCTCAAACTGAAAGAGTCTTTTTCTCAACCCCACTTGCACTTGGCTCATCCCCAATTGGGAAGACGACACAAGGGGTTTTAGATGATGATTGAGTTGTGCTTGTCACTTGGGAGGCAAAGTGTACTTCAGCTCTGATGTCTCGTTCACATAAGTACTCCATTAGCTGTGACGTGAGTAGATATTGTCAGAGTAACTTGCTAATGTACAAGTTTCACCAATTGTGCCAATTTAAGTTTCTACTTGGGAAACAAAACATACATTGTTGTCAGCAGATTTCATTATGATGTAAATAATTTAGAATGTACGGATTATTTATCCTATGGTATCAAATGTATAAATAGTAGTTTACGTTACTAGTCCTTAAAGTAGGCTTTTTGGGACGATATAGCCTCATCCGGAAATTCGATTAAGTCACAAAAAGCATTTTAGGACGAGTTACAAACAATATTTTTTCATTACATTGTCATATATTATAGAATTGATTAAAAAAGAACGTTAGGTTATGTAAGAAACAAACAAAAGTTTGTTCATATATTGTTGAAGCATTTGAAAGGACCAGAACAGCTGATTTATTTTTCAGATAAGCTTTGACACAACCATTATGATTCGAGTCTGTAAAATTTAACGGACTAGTCTACAAAAAGCTAACTTTGACTCAAAACGATCCGTAAGACAGCTATTTTGAGGCAGTGCATTATTATACATTATTATAACCAGGCCTGTTATGTGAACAATGTGTTAGTGTGATTTACAGTACATACAAAAAAAATATACTCTGATGGAAGTGAATTGCTAATCAAATATTAATTTAATTGGATCGATTACTCTAAGTAAGTACGTAGATCTTTATTTCTATTTAAAAACACTTTTAAGCTTGAGAGGTTATTGATATACTAACATTTCCGCTTGCAAAATATTTATGATATTTCTTTCTTTTGCGTCACATCTGTGTAATTACCGAAGTATGGACCAATCTCTTTTTAAATGTCACAGAATAACCTTGCATTGTACGAGTATATTGTGCAGATTGTGAACCCATTTAACTGTTTGAGTTGTGTATTAATACACTTTTAAAGTATGGCATATTTAATTATTGTTGAAATTTGCTCACCAAAATCAACATAAAATAAATCTAGGATAAATAATACACACGCTTAGTTAAAATAAATAATTTATAAATAAAAATACTTTTTAAAAATGCCACGTTTTTAACCACACTAAAGAGTATAAAATAATTTATACAATGTTGAGAGAATAAATACTTGTAAGATTTAAAACGAAAAACGTGGGGCACATGCAATAGATCATATTAGTTCAATAGGTGAAGTTAATTTTTAATAAGCATGTATGTGTTAAACTGCCAAATTTAAGTATTTACAGCTGACTTAAACTAATTTCTATGTTTACATTCTTTTAAAATGTAAACATGGAAAATTTGGAAGCCAAAGGGGCGTAGCCCAAGGGAAATATGAAAATTAAATGATATAATATTGCATTGTCATCCATTTGTGAGCCATGTTTCAAGTTTCAAGACTCTAGCTCATCGGGAACTTCGTTTAAAATTAATATCAAAATTTGTAGGAAAGCGAGCTAATAAAAACAAGCACATGGGGCGTAGTCCAAGGGAAATATGAAAATTAAATTATATAATACTGCATTGTCATCCATTTATGAGCTATGTTTCAAATTTCAAGTCTCTAGCTCATCGGGAAGTATACAAATTTGCAAGAAAGCGATTTAATAAAAACAAGCCCATGGGGCGTAGCCCAAAAGAAATTTGAAAATTAAATTATTTAATATTACATTGTCTTCCATTTGTGAGATATGTTTCAAGTTTCAAGTCTCTAGCTCGTCGGGAAGTTAGTATAAAATTGATTTCAAATTTTGGTACCGGACAAAAAAGTGAGCTAATAAAAACGTTTTAAAATAGCTGGGTCCAGCCAGGATAGAATTGATTTAATTTTCATCATTGTAACGCTTTGTTACTGCAATTTTGGCCTCCATTCTTCTTTGTTTACTGATTTTAAGGAAACTTTAACATTGTTTCTTGGTTCACATTTGCACTGCACTGTACATTTAGATATAACTTAAGTAAATCTTAGTATGGATACAGAATAGATTAGGCATTCAGTTAAATACACTAACTTAGCCCCGTATTCATCACAATTCCTATACAAAAGTGTACATGTCAAGATTTACAGTTTAATTTTAGATCTTGCACTACTTTTGAAGCAACAACTGTTACATTAGCCAAAGGCACCACTAGATATAATCCATCTTAAGCCTTCCCTTCCATTATTTATGACTGGTTAAATAGTTCGAGAATAGAAGATGTACGGCACGAGTTAATGCAGTGTTAAATCACTGTAATTCTCATTAATTATAGGAGCGGTATTTCTAGTACTTTGGGAGTTTGAGCTAAATGTTTGAGGCAACTATGTACAATCAACCTTCAAACTGTTTGATTTATTACTATAGTGGCTGAAATTGAAAGTAATAATTGCTCAATATTCATTAACAAAATGTATAATCTTCTCTATGTTTATTTGGTCCCCGTTGGATTATCATAGGAAATAGACAATGTTCCAAAGTCGACTTTATTGACAAAAGCTGACAAATGACTAATTATGTTCCATGAGGTCACTTGGTACGAGAAATTGGTAAACTATAATTGCTATCAATTACATTTTTTAAGAAACAGGGGTATTAAAAATAAAAAAGTGAAATCGATAAACATGTTATATCCGTGTGCGTTACTAGACCATAAAGTGACTCTTACCCCTTACAAGTTAATACCTCAATGAATTATTTGTAGGATAATAAAGGAAAAAAATACATAACCAATGTATCCTCTTATCACAATTAAGTTCTTACTGTGTATTAAACGGGTCCCAAATTAGGGTAAAACTTGCAACCATTGTGCCACACGTGAACACTAAGAAACTTTGTTTGTCTAAGAACTAGTGTCAACAAAAGTTACCGATAGGCGTCTACTACTGTTATCGAGCAGTCACCTCGTCTAGTTCAAAGAGGTGAGTTTACTTTATAGGTGTATTTTGAGCTTTGAACAGTACACATAAAATATTCTCTATCAGAGACGAACACTACGTTTACTTTTCCCTTTAATTATGGTTGGTCAACAAAGGATGTACGAGTATTTTAATAGTGTGCATTTATCTTATCAAATGTATTTGAAAATTATATAATTGGTGAACCAACTTCTCTTGTTGACTTATTGATCAATATGTGGAGCTCAGACAAATCATCGACTTTGCTTACTTTTTTGTCCTAGGACGCTAGGCACGAGCCCGGAATTGTTTTTCACATTACTTCAGGCTAGACCTAGGGGTTACGCCATTATCACTTAGATAAAATCCATTGGTGATTTGGCGGGATTTGAACCCAGGACCCCAGGAACCGGAGTCCTGCGCTCTAATCAGCTCGCTCCCCCCCACCCACGACTTTGCATACTAAAGTAGTTATCCTATCAGTACGAATAAGCTATAGCCTAGCCATTTTTACTCCAACGGAGCATTGTTAATTGAGCTTGTCTTCGAGTACTCTACTATTAAAGCTGTTTTATAGGTTTTCATTTTTACTTTTACTTAGCAATTGCTCGAATTCGATCAACGGGTACCATTGTCTTATTTAAGTCCCCTTAATCTCAAAAAGTTGAGTTTCGAAGTGTCGTGTGTGTGATCCACACCACTAATCCCTGGTATTTTAATGCGCTTTTTATTATTTTTTTTAATTTTCACAATTTTTACATACAATGGTGATTTTATAAATGGTTAAAAACTATCAGGAAAACGGGTTTTAGCAAAAACACCTTAACCGATTTTGATTCTAATATAGTATTTTAAGGTTCTAAAAAATTGTAAAACCCCAAATGATTTGAAATTGCGAAGGATCTAATGGGAGAAAGTATGTGTCAGTTTGCTGATACCGTTTCTCTATACTAAGATAGTTGATGTGAAAAGGCTGATCTTCCTACGAGTTAGAAAAAAGTTGCCACAGTTTATAATGAGTTGTCTTTCATTGCGGGACGTTTAACAAGTTTATGTAGAAATACCCCTATATGGGAAATTTGTTAAAAGAAATTACATTTTCAGCACCATTCTAGTTGGTAAAGTGCACACACTCAGTACCTTTTTATTCTAAGACTATAGTTCGGCCGCTTAGAAAGCGACCTCCTCCAGCATTGTTTTAGCATTAGCGCGCAGGTCGTTTTCTAAGCGGCCGAACTATAGTATAATTCACTATATGGGAATCAGAATTATACTTCTTTACGGTTTTACTATGAGAACTGTCTTGCAATTGTATTGTGTTAAAAGTGTATTTAATTATGAGTATTTTAATATGGTATATTTTTAATTCAGATTGATATATCGAACATTTATATTCAAAGTTTTGAGTTGTTTATATTCCTCTACAGGAATGGAAAAAGACAGTTAATTTAAGCCTGATGAATAACATACAACATTCTTGTCAGTCAATCCAGTTTGGCAGTCATGCTGTTTATAGCAAAACGTATTTTGTCAATTGAATTACCTTACTAACGCATGGAAAATAAAGGGATTATATCAATTAAAAATTGCTAATGTATATTTCATATTTTGTCTACCTTTTAATATTATAACCATTCTTCTAACTTAAACACTCCCGCCGCAGCAAACCTTCAGACTAGGCGAATTTCCATTTGAGAATTCCATTCAAATTGAGAAATTTCGTGTTTTGAAGGTTAAAGATGAGAAAAACAATTTTTTACCCCATAAAACCCCGTTCCCATGGTCCGATCATGCTGGTTCGCAAACTAATTCAAGTTCATACCTCATTTAAGTTTAATCAAAATCGGACGAAAATTACTAAAGTTATCGCGTTCACGGACGTATACACACACACTCACCTACACACACTGTATGTCAATGAACTTTTATCTTATCAAGAATATGCTCTGGAAATTGTATCAAGTAGAACGTCAAACGTGTGTTCATGAAAGACACTACGTACTTGACGTACTACGTAGTTGACTTTATATAATAAAAAAAATATTAATCTTTAGTCATTGCTTTCCCCAACAATCATTACTATTCAAGTAAATAAAATCCTCAATTATCTCTGTTACAGCAAAACATGAGGCGTCTCTTAGTTTTATTCCTCCTTGGACTGTCTCAGGCAACCAAACAATGTATGAAGGTCGACACTATTGATGAAAGCCCAACGTTTGTGAGTTACATACCCTATATAAAACTAGTTATTTTAACAATAGTTCGTAGGCTTGATTGAAAAAAGGTAGATCATAATATCATATAATTATTACAATTTTATAGAAATAGTCTATAAAATGTTCAGAGCTGTAACGATAACATACAACCCATTAAAGATCTCGTGCCAAAGCCAATCATTACTTTATAAATAGGTGTAATATTTATTGTTTTTCTGTTGTATTGGAGGCATTTTAGTATATAAAATACTATCCATTGGGTAAGCTAAGATAGTTATTTGGCTTAAAGCATGGTTAATTCGACTGTTAATACCTACATTGATGTAAATTTATTATTTTTCAGTCATAAAATAACCAATAAAATAGCTTTTTACTGTTATAAAACTTTTTAACTGTACATGGTGACTCACTTCAGTAATACTTTCGTGAGGAAGACAAATTATTTACTATCCAAAACAATTTCTGATACACTTGACTCAAAGTTTAAGGGTTTTCTGACTACAAATAACAACTTAAAATATTTCAGATGAATAAAAATTTGAATTGATGTTATATTTGTTTTTAGCTTCAGCTCAAATTTTGTAATTTTGGTTCAGTTCATTTTTAAAATTTAGCCTTGCCCCGAGTCGTCCCTAAAACCACGTCACAAATAAATACCATTCTGTTTGTTTACATATTATTTAGATTTTACTTTTGCTTATTAGATATTTGTTATACTTCTCATTTAAATACATTAGAAATAATATCATTGTGTGTCCTAAAAAAGCTCATCTTGCTCTTCTAGTTTAACTGCCATCAACCCATTTTTCTGAATCTGTTGCCCAAAACTTCCGAGAACGTCCTTATAGACAACATCTGTATAACGTACTTTCCACTTCCAGACGAGCCAAATGCTAATACACTTTATGTGTCGAGGGTATTGTAAGTATACACACCATTGTAATGTCTCTTATAGGGTTGTGTTAATTGTAAATTGTGTGGAGTAAAAGACATAAGACCAAAATATTTTTTTGTAGAAGTGCTACCATAAGTCACGAAAATTATTTATAAATTATGTTCTAACATTCACAAATTCTCAAATTGAAATCAATATTGTCGTAGCCACCAAACTGTAGTGGTAGCTAATTTCTTTCGTAAAACATTGTTTGGCTTACATAATTTATTGGAAACTGTTGGTAGAATGGTAAAATGTTCAACCTGTTAAAGTCTGTAATATATCTTAGCATTTTGTACACCACTGGATGTATACCCATGAGAATCTTAGACCATATTTTTTTAAATATCTGAACTGGTGGTTTGTGTGGTGTGGAAGATTTTAGTTTTAAGTGTCATCAGTTATCAGTTACATAAACTCACCCCGTGAAATAAATTAAATTATAACATCCACAACCAAGCATAAGTTGAAGGTAAATTAAGTATACTAGTTAACAAGCTATGTGTTTCCTTCTGATTAATTTTATTTTTTCCATTTCAAGCTGTGACGGTTCCAATGACGTTACCACATATGTACAGGGACCGGTTTCGAAAGGGGTGAACCGGAAAGCAAGTAAGACTTCAATTAAATGACGTTACTTTTAATTTTATATGTCCTTTTGAGTATAGTCATAAAAAAGGTTAATTGCTTCGAACAGAAATTAACAATATTATAATTATCAACCATACACATAGTAACCATAATAATAATAGTAATGACCAGCTCATGTCATAACTAAAGTGAAGTGTGTTGATGTATTGAAGCTGAGATTTGAGTAAAAGGTATCTATTAAATACATTAACATACATTTTTGAAAAAGATTTTAGAACTTAATTGAAAACTTAACTCATATTTACTAACTAGGGTGGTCTACCGTTACACTTTAGACGCATAAATGAGCGAAGCATTATTTAAAGATTGCCAATGGCTAAAGCCGCTAACAACCTACAATATGTTTCCTTCCAACAGATTCACTGTTTGTTTGCCCGATATTATTTAAGTTCCAAAGAATGATAAATTTATCTGAGAGTTCATTTATTTAGTTAAGAATAAGAATAAGAATTGATAAAAGGTTATTAGACATGTGTATTTGACATTTCGTTTAAACGGTCAAGAGCTTCTTTCTTCTTTGCCCAAGATCTGTGTCTGTTAATTGACATCAATCGGTCTAGTGAAAATGGTGGCTCCCAGAAGCAGGCCTTCAAATAGCGCTTCATCAATAATGGTTATGTCAAAATAGAATGGGTTATTTGCCTTCAGCCAAATAAGTGCTTGCTGTAGTTTTTCACGTCGAACTTTGAAATCGATATGGCCAAAGACGCCTTGACGTTTGGACAATGATGACTTTTAAGTTTTCGGGCAGTGTAGGTAAGACAGACGCTATTTCATTAATATCTTGCTCAACATTAATGATGTTAACTTTGTAGTGAAACTGGCCGTCCTGACCATTTGCTTGTACTTTGTAAATGCGCATAGCGGGATGTACTCGTGCAATCAACATTTTTGTTCTACAATCGTCAGGTCAGTTAATTCGTTCGGGACACTTGACACATCCATATTATTTAACACCGTGAATTTAGTTGCATTTGAACGACAACGAGAACAAATCGGTGATTGGTTTGAAGCTGTTAGTTGTTGGCGATGACTGTTAGTGCAAGTGTAAAATTTTAGTGCATCTAATTCATGTTGGAATTGATTAGCTAACTGCCTATCATTATCAGCTTCTTCCGCCACTGCTTCATCTGGTTCTCCTTCTTCAAGACGCCACTCTCTTACAATATTTGCATTAATGGTGCGACGACCAATATTACGACGTGGCCTATGAGGCATGCTCAAAAGAAATATAGCAAAACTGTTACTTCCATTGATAAACTGTTAGATTCCAACTTTAACCTAGGATGAAAGTAAACATTGAAATGTAAACAAAACAGTTACAAAACAATTAACATATGTTTATCTTATTTAAATGAAACGAGATAAACCCATATGTCATAAACCCAATATAATTTTTCTTTCAACTTACATTAAAATGACAAGCGAAATTGTGTGACCCGTAAAATAAAATCCAGAAGGAAATTTGCAAATATTTTTTACCAAAACATTGTGCTCAGTATTCTTTAGCTGTTGGCCAAATTTCATATCAATTGGTCAAGCTATTACATTCTGATGCTCTTACAAAGAAGTTACAAAGTGAGGGAAAGTGAGCTTCGCTCAATGAATGTTCTCTATTTTTTTCTAGATCCATTTCAGATAGTGCAAGATCACATTGTTGCATATGCAGGCTGTGACACAAACGTTGTATATCGTTGCTCAGCGTTTGGAGGTAAGGCTTTTAGACTTCTACTGAATATTTAAACAAATTAATAATTGGTAGGTAAACAATAGCTTTTTATGAGTCTAATTATTACCATGTACTCGCATTCATATTACACGGAGTCAATAACTCCACTAAAAACCTTGACAAACAAAACTTTTAAAGTGACCACACAGTTTTTGATAATTTCTATTAACTCATTGTTCTAACTAGTCAATAAATAAAAAGGTTAAAAGATTAAATATTTTTTGCCACCGTGTTTGGGAATGAGGGATAAGAAATGTTGGTAAATTGAAATTTTTGTCAAAGAAGCATAACGGTACAATGCAAAAGGGTCATTTTTAGAGGTAATATACATCAAAGTTAAACGAGAATTTAGTTAAAAACTACATAGACCTTGCTAAAAGAGTTATAAAAGGTAAATTTAGCACTAATTTGGATGAAGAAAATACTGAAGAAAATTGTGGTCTTTTTAATCATATGAAGAAAAGTGTATATATTTCATTAATTATAATATGAATAAAAGTGTATATATTTCATACCACCGTGTTTCTAAAACCTGCAAATGATCAAGTGAACATATATTTGAATAGCTGAAATTGTAATGGCCTTGCCTGATGGAAGATCGTAGGCGTGATTTTGGTAAGTGATAGCTTTTTGATGGTCTTTCTGGATCTAGCTCTTAAGCATTTGACTTTTAAAAAGGTCCTGGCTAAATGTGGTATTAGCTAGTAACAAAGCCAAAAAAAAGATACGCTATTCAACACATCTGTCATATTTAGGTTAAAATATTTCTTAGCTAAGTTTACATCCTTTAATTATATTGTCCTTCCATCAGAGACCAACATATTTCTATTCTTGTTCACATATCTTTCCTACGACTGTAATTTCAATCTTGCATTATTTCCAGAGCCGTTTGATCCATATGTGTTCGGCGCCTCCTCTAACTGTGCTCCCCTCGGGCTCTCTTGCCTGAGGAAGATCGAGGAGATTATTAAGGACAAGAATCTACCTGACCAGGACTTCTACGTTTTGCCCATGAAGCTGCCAAACCGTTGTGTCACACAACAGCTGTGTTTACTACCTCCAAACCCTTTCTATAACAAGCTCGGGCCTTATGGTGGAGCGTATCTCGCTTAGAAGTGTTTAGAAGGAATTTAATTTAGCCTGTTTATATTCTAAGAGATGGATTTGTGCAATGCAATCCATGGTCAAAGTCCGACAGTCTACTTTGGGTACTTACGTATTAAGGTCGATTCAGACATCAGTTATGGCATGTCACAGTCCAGTCAATTCAGGCACGTAATAGTTAACAAAAATAATCTTTAATGAATTTTCTATTGGGCTCTCTACACTTATCCGTTGCAGTTCCGTCAGTCACTCTCCCGGCGTCCGTCAGTCAATTTCAGATTTCTTATCAACGATATTTTTGGATTTTTCGGACGTCTGACGGACGTGTTTGAGGTTAGAAAATAGCACTTTTTTATTTAAATGATCGAGTTTATATCTCAGGTAATTTTTGTAACAATCAACAAGACGGACGATGAAAATTTGATAGAATATTGTGTTTTAATTAAACATTTTTGACTGTAACACCAATGTAAATAAAGTGACGGAAGAGTGACTGCAACCAAATGACTGACAGTTTGACTGAGAAATTGTGGACGCAACTGTGACTGGACTGTAACTGGACTGTAGTAGTTAGGGTCAGCGCTTGAGGTCTAACATGGGCTCTTATGGGAAATAGATTTATTGCCTTCATGTTAATAATCTGTTATTTTTCTTTGCATGCGTAGACTTCGCATCCTCACGTGGAACGCCGACGGGCTTGCCGACAGACGCCATGAGCTGACACAACTCCTCACTGACATGGACGTTGACGTTGCCCTCATCCAGGAGACGCATCTGCGCGGTGGGGACAGGTTCAACGTCCGAAACTACTACACTCACCGGACAGACAGGCCTCTGCAACAACGTGCCAGTGGTGGCTCGGCGATACTGGTTCATCGTCGGGTCACCCACAGACCGATCGTCAGGAACCTCCCGCCTGGCATCGAGGTGACGACCATCGCCCTCCAGCACGACGGTGCAGAGCTGGAAATCTCCTCTGCCTACAACCCCCCAGGGAGACGCCTTGATCCCGGACTCCTGGACTTGCTGCTGCCCCCCGACACCCCGGCGCTTCTGGCAGGCGACCTCAATGCCAAACACCTGGACTGGGGTTGCAGGAGAGGAAACTTCACTGGAGCTGCTCTCAGGCGCTACCTCACCGCCCACCCTCACATCAACGTGGTTGCCCCGGCCGACCCCACACACTACCCCCGTGCTGGTCACCCGCCTGACATCCTGGACATCGGCCTGGCTGGCTCGTTCGATGGCCCAGTCGAAGTCTTCGTCGTCTCCGACCTCTCCTCCGACCACGTCCCGGTGATCATCGATCTGCCGCAGGGAGGAGTCCCCGACCGCCCTCCGGTCCGCAGGAAGAGGGTGAACTGGGCGAAGTTCGCCAACCTCCTGGCCAACACCCCTCGACCGCCTCCCCCGCCGCCTGCGACCACTGACGAGCTCGACCAGCAAGTCCTGGACCTGTCGACGCTGCTGCAGGACACTGTGGTTGCCGCCAGCTCTGACGTCGACCCGAGGGCCCCCCCGCCACTTCCCCAGGGACTGCGGGAGGAGATCACTCTGCGACGTCGCCTGAGGAGGGCGTATCAGCAGTCCCGCTGCCCTCGAGCGAAGGCGGACTTCAACCGGCAGGCTAGGAGGTGCTCCCGACTGCTGGCTGAGCATCGGTCCCAGGAATGGGAGGACTTCGTCGAGGGCCAGGCAGACACCAATGACGGCATCTGGAAGATCGCTAAGGCTCTGCGCGGCACGAAGACCCACAACAGGCCACTGCATGGGGGACGCGGGCTCGTCTACTCGCCCGAAGACCGTGCAGAGACCTTCGCCGACTCGCTGGAAGACCAGTTTTCCCCACACCCGGACGTCTACGACGAAGACTTCTGCGAGGTTGTTGACGACTTCGTAGAGACCTACGAGCCGGACTCCGACGAAGAGGACATCCCCCACGTGACCGTCAGCGAGGTGAAGGGCCACATCGCTCGACTCCGTCCGAAGAAGGCCCCTGGACCGGACTCCCTCGGGACTCCAGCACTGAAGAACCTGCCGGCTTGGGTGGTTGTTGTCATCACCTGCCTCTTCAACTCCTGCGTGAGGCTGGCCCACTTCCCTGACACCTGGAAGCTGGCGAATGTCATACTCATCCCCAAGCCCGGCAAGGACCACATCTTCCCCGAGAACCACAGGCCGATCTCCCTCCTGCCTGTGCTCTCCAAGATGCTGGAGCGAATCGTCCTGGCGAGATTCCCCGAGGAGTTCTTCACTTCGATCAGGACCGAGCAGTACGGCTTCAGGCGGGGCCACTCCACCACCCTCCAGCTGCGGCGGGTCCTCAACACCATCGCTGGAGCGATGGAGCGGAAGCACCACTCGACCTCAGTCCTGATCGACGTGAGCAAAGCCTTCGACCGGGTCTGGCACGAGGGGCTTCTCTACAAGCTGGCGTCCTCCCCTCTACCCGGCTCGATCTACAGGCTCGTCAAGAGCTACCTGACCGCTCGCCGCTTCAAGGTCTCCGTTGGACGGGCGACTTCCACACCACGGCCAGTCTCTTCGGGTGTGCCACAGGGGTCGGTTCTCGGGCCGATACTCTACCTGTGGTACACCAACGACATACCCCTGGCGCCGAGAGTGCAGCTCTCGCTCTATGCAGATGACGCGCTCTTCACTGCCACCTCCGCCAACCTGAGGATGTCCAGGGTGTATGTCCAGCGACAGCTGGACCTGTTGCTGCCGTGGCTGACGAAGTGGCGAGTCAAAGTCAACGCTGACAAGAGTGAGGCCATCTCCTTCACGAGGTCGAGGAGGCAGGACGATGGTCAACACCTCCACCTAGACGGGGCCGACATCCCATGGAAGCGCCGGGTGAAGTACCTCGGCGTCCTGCTGGATCAGCGACTCACCCTGACTCCCCACGTCGAGAGGGTCTGCGACCTCGCCAGGAAAGGTCTTGGCGCCATCCGCCCGCTGCTCAAGTCACGGAAGTTGTCGACGGCTGCAAGAGTCCGACTCTACACGGCCCTGCTTCGACCTGTCCTCACGTACGCAGCCCCTGCATGGTACCACCTCACCTGCAGAACCGCTAGACGGAGGCTGCTCGTCGTCCAGAGCAAGGCTCTCCGGCAGGCGACAGATTCACCCTGGTACGTGAGGAATTCCGTCATCAGGGACTCCACAGCAGTGACAACTCTCCGAGACTTCGTCGACGGCCTTCGAGCGAGACTTGAAGAGACGGCGGATGACTCTCCGTGGGAACACATCAGGGACCTGGTCGCTGAGGATGTTCCGCAGCTCCGCCCCCGGATCGACGACTAACTCCCAGAACGACGTTGACGTCTACAGGTAGCTGAGCTACCAGGGCTTGGACCCACAGCAGACCGGAAGTATATGCTCCCAGCGAGCAGGCACTTCCCCCAGACGTGGCGCTAGTCGCCACATTCATATACACTTGGACTTGATTTTTCTTTGAATACTGTAATATGTATAACTGTTTAGCTATCATTTTACTGTCAATGTTTATGGTTTTAACTAATGTATGTTTTAACTAACTAATGTATTCAACTAACTAACTAATGTTTTTAACTATGGGTTGTTTGTTATTTATCTATATAACTGTAGTAGGATCCCCCCGGATCGCGGACAAACTACCCCTAGAGTGGTAGTTTAATCCTCAGGGGTAGTGAATACATATATGTTTGAATGTTAGGGGTTGTTAGGGGTAGTTTTATGTTTACATAGGAGTTATCAGTTGATCATGTGACCTTTTTATATGTTGGTACTTTTATTAAACTATTTTTGTTTATTTAATAATGGATAAAAAGTGTGAATCCTGACCGGGTATCGAACCCCGCTCTCCTAGATGTTGTTCCAATGCCCTATCTATAGGGCTATGATGTCAGTTATAGGTATGGTGTTTATAGTGGTAAATAACAACTTTGATTTCTTAATTACATATATAGGGTGTGTAAAAAAAACATTATATTTTAAATTTATTTTATACATATCTATATGCTTTAGTCTATAACAATTGTGAAACAAATGATAATTCATGTATCCAATGTTAAAAACAGCTGAAAGAAGGCTTAAGCGGAACTTTACCGTTGAGTATAAAAAATGGCCTTTGTAAAGGCCACCAAATGTTGGATGTTAAATTTATATTTTATATATGTTATGTACTCTTGGGATGATGGGTGGTTTGAATTTATGTTTTTTTTTAGTGGTTGGTTGTGTATGAAGATGTGTATGAATCAGAGGTTCACGGGTTCGATCCTTAGCAATCACCAAATGCTTTATTTCTGGTTAGGGTGATATGTTGATTTCTGTTATAGTGTTGTATCGTAGTGGGAGTAGTGTGAGTCCTTCTTTGATCTTAGAGGTTTATGGGTTCGATCCTTAGCAATCACCAAATGTATTTTTACTGGTCAGGGTGATATGTTGATTTTTGTTATAGTGTTGTATTGTTGTGGGAGTAGTGTGAATCCTTCTTTGATCTTAGAGGTTCAAGGGTTTGATCCTTAGCAATCACCAAATGTTTTATTTCTGGTTAGGGTGATATGCTGATTTTTGGTATGGTGTTGTATTGTAGTGTGAGTCCTTCCTTGATCTTAGAGGTTTGCGGGTTCGATTCTTACCAATCACCAACTGCTTCTCTTCTGGTCAGGGTGATATTTTGAGTGTTAGTATTGAAGTAGGAGTAGTTAACTCGTTTAGAATGTGAACCTATGATCCTGGAGGTTTGAGGGTTTGATCTTTATCAATAACCAAATGTTTCATTTTTGGTTGGGGTGGTGAATTGATTTTTGGTATGGTGTTGTATTGTAGTGGGAGTTGTGTGAGTCCTTGATCTCAGAGGTTTGTAGGTTAGAATCCTACCAGTTATCAATTGTCTTATTTCTGGTTATGGTATTAACTTGTGTTTTAGTATGGTATTAAGAGATTATGTGTGAGACATCGTTCTCTGAGGTTGTGGGTCTGATCCTTATCAGACAACGATTGTTTTATTTCTGGTTGGGGTGTTTTTGGTATGGTATTGTATTGTAGTGGGAGTAGTGTGAGTTCTTTATCTTAGAGGTTTGTGGGTTTGATTCTAGCTAATCACTAAACGTTTTATTTTTGGTCAGGGTGATATATTGAGTGTTAGTATAGTGTTGTATTGTAGTGGAAGTAGTGTGAGTCCTTGATCCCAGAGGTTTGTGGAGTTGATCCTCACTAGCCACTGTTTGTATCATATCTGATTGGGGTGATTTTTAATGTTGTATTGTAGTTAATTGTTTGTGTATGCCCTCAGAGGTTGTGGGTTTGATTTTTATCATTCAGTGATTGTCTCATTGCTGGTTACTATAGGGTTTATCATGGTATAGGGAGTTAACTGTTTGAGCGTGAGATCCTGAGGTTATGGGTTTAATCCTTACCAAACACTGATTATTTTATTTCTGGTCACTATGATTTTGTATGGTGTTGTATTCTAGTTAACTGTTTGTGTATGAGTCTAGGGTTGAGGGTTTGCATCTTATCAGTGAGAGTAACATTTTTTATGGCTGTGTAATATGTTTCTGTCAAATTAATCAGC